AAAAAACAGACCTGGTAGCCTTAGCAAGGCGTGCATGCCTGGTGAAAACATTCTCGAGCCCCTCTTCAAAGAGAAGGTCGAGAGCAGCCCTCAGCCCATACAGAAGCTGAATAGAAGGTGTGTATGGCCAATAAGTCCCCATCTTATAGAACTTCAAGTAGTCTGCCCAGTCGAAGAACACACGCACAGATTTTGCAGTCTTGGCAGCCTCGAGTGCCTTAGGGCTTGCACAAACTATTCCCATTCCAGTCGGAAGTGAAAGTGCCTTCTGTGAGCCAGTTAAGGCCACGTCAACTCCCCACTCATCCATACGAAAATCGAGCGCGCAAATCGAGGACACACCATCAACCAGAAGCAATGCTGGGTGCTGGTAATCATCTGTCAAACATATAAACATGCATGCAATTTTTTATTATTATTTAGAGTAAAACGCAATTTTAGTCCTGTATGTTTCACTCTTCGAATTGCGTTTTTTATTTTCGTCCCGTGTGTTTGCAAAAAGGTTACAAAAAGGTCCTTTATGTTTTGCAAAAAAAGGTTCCAATTTCGCCCCTTATGTATGAAAAGGACCTTTTTGCAAACATACGGGACGGAAATAAAAAACGCAATTCGAAGAGGACGAAAAAGTTAAGGTAGTGAAACATACAGGACTAAAATTGTAATTTACTCTATTATTTAAATAATTACCGAAAACATATTTCTGTATTAATTTTCAAATGCTTATTAGTTATTACCGAGTATTTTTCTGACAGTGGCGAGGTTGTTAGTGACGCCAGTTGCTGTCTCGTTGTGGACAATGCAGATGGCCTTAATAGTGTGGGCACTGTCCTCGGCTATTTTCGAGGCCAACAAATTGAGATCTGCACCTCGGCCCCATTCACTCTCGACAACATCGACGTTGAATTTGAGGCGCTTTTGCTGGTCGATCCACAGCAGACTGAACTGACCAATTAGGAATGAAATTACACGGTCTCCAGGGGAAAGTGTGTTCGTCAGCGCACTTTCCCATGCACCAGTCCCTGTCCCAACAGAATGTGTTATTGAAATAATACAATTAAGTACCATATAAAAAATGTGGACTAGTTACTCCATTGATGGATAAATCATTTTTTTATTATTATTAAGTTAATATTTATATGTGTTTGTATAAAATAAGGTGGTGAGCTTCTATAACGGAAACCACGTACGACTGCTTTGAATTTAAAATTTTCTCTTTAGAGAAACAATGGAAACCCCCTTAGTCCCAAATTTCTAAAATAAGCTTATAAGTAGATTTTCTTATGACTTGGTATAATATTTCATATAAAAATGACAAAAAAAATTGTAAGACATTAGAAACTCTCAAAATGCAACAATAATCCAAAAGCTACTCGAGAATCAACCTCTCCCTTACACCATATACCACCATATACCAGACAAAAAATTGAAAAAGTGATTCGTATGATCCCAAATGTTATAATCCATCTATAGACATGATAAGATCAATTTTTACTGTCATATATATGCTTATAATAGACCGAAGAAGAGGTCAAAATCAAGACACGTATTCCATTGATGGTTAAATCCTTTTTTTTAATTAAGTTATTATTTATATGTGTTTGTCTGAAGAAGATGATGAGCTTCTATAAAGGAAACCACGTACGACTGTTTTGAATTTAATTAAAATTGTCAATTTATATTTTCCCTTTAGAAAAACAATGGAAACCCCTTAATCCCAAATTTCTAAAATAAGCTTATAAGTAGTTTTTCTAACGACTTCATATAATATTTCAACAATAATGACTAAAACAAAAAATTGTAAGACATTAGGAGCTCTCAAAATGCAACAATAATCCAAAAAAAGCTACTCGAGAATCAAGTCAACCTCTCCCTCCCACCATAAACCAGACAAAAAATTGAAAAAGTGATTTCCGTTCAGAAAAACAATGGAAACCCCTTAGTCCCAAATTTCTAACATAAGCTTATAAGTAGTTTTTCGTTACAACTTCATATAATATTTCATTTAAAAACGACTAAAAAAATTGTAAAGACATTAGAAGCTCTCAAATAGCTCTTGGACTGCTTATAAAGGTTGTCAAACACCCTCTTAATCAACAAAGTGCAACAATAACCCAAAAGCTACTCGAGAATCAACCTCTCCCTTCCACCATAAACCAGACAAAAATTCAAAAAGCGATTGATATGATCCCAAATGTTATTAATCCATCTATAGACATGAGAATACCAATTTTTTACTGTCAAATATATGCTTGTACCAATTATTACACACCAAAAGGCAGAGTTCAAGTTAGCGGTGTACGTACCTGTTGTGGGAATGAGAAAAGGAGTCCCAGAAGTGGTCTTGAAAATCTTTTTGACATCCTCCAAAAGCAGTTTAGTAAGTGCAGGAACAGCTGGCGACCGGTAATCCTCATTGTTACGGCTCATAGCACGAATGACCTGGTCCGGGATATTCACGGGCCCCGGCACAAAAAGGTGGTTCCTTCCTGGTCCATTCACGTAGTCCATCTCTTCAAATCTGTGCCAAATCCTTTTACAGCCTGCAATTTCAAGAAATATATATTGTGATGTAAGTATGATATAGGTTGAAGACTACTACCACAAGGGGAAAAAGACTGCAATTAGTTCTAGCAGAGAAATCTTATTATTAATTATCATGGAAGCAGGTCAACTGGATTTTACTAACAACCGATGAAAATCTCAAGAAAATGTAAATCAATAGTATTCCTCTTCCGTTTGCAAACAAGATTCTTAATATTCTGTCTAAAATATTTCAAGCATCATAACNGTTAAATATCACAAAAATCCACAATAGGAAAGCTTGATTCACAAAATAAAAGTAGACAGGTTGAAAAAAAAAATGCCTTTCAACCTATTTCTCATTATAACACATATGATTTCAAGATTGTAACACACACACACACACACACACATACACCTCACATGCATGCTAAGTAGACCCGGTGTGGTATTCCATATAAAATATATATATATACAAACATGTAGCATTTGAATTTAATAAAGCGATTAAGAATCAAGAAAATCAATTGAAGATGGGACTTAAAATAAATAAAAAAAAAAATTAAGTTGTAGCAGTACCTGCGTTGGCTGGCTGGGACTTGTGAAGAGGAGAAAAATCAAAATGGGGAAAATTGTGAAAAGGCCAAAGGGACTGCGGAGTAAATTTTATAAGAGCGCGGGAGAGCAGTCACAGCTTTCCGTGGGTCCCACATCGTCGGCTTCACACGTGGCAGATAAGAGTTGCACAATCGTCAATCCTGTGGCTAAGAATGGGTGACGTCGTGCGAGTTTAATGGCAAATTACAATTTTGGTTCGGTTGTAAATTTGTAATAATATGAATGTGTTTTCTTGCATCCACGCCCTTATTTTCTCATTGTAATCCAATTTTGCCCACTATTACTTTCTTGGTCTATGGATTCACAGACTAATCGTACACCTGTTTTTTTATTAAGAAAGGATTTCCATATACATGTATTTTTTTGTGTGTTTCATATATTTTAAAACGAAGTTTAAATACTAATAATTAGTTGCATATATAAGTTTTTTCTTACTAGTAAAGTGCGTGTGCAATTCACGTGATA